GGGAGGAGGGGAGAAGGGAGGAGGGGAGGAGGGGAGAAGGAGGAGGAGGAAGAGGAGGAATGGCAGCAACAGCTGATTGTAAAGTGAAGAATCAACTTATGATTGGCCTAACCATGACCAACCCATGTCCTTGTAAGTCTGAATTTCCAAGGGTAGAATTTTTTTTAAATCACAGCCTGTCTGTCTGTATCTGTCCCTGCCCTCTGTCACTGAGCTGTCCCATGCCCCCAGGCCTGAATCCAAGTGGTGGAGAGAGCATCTCCTTCCTCCACACCCGCCCTGCTCCACCAAGTCAGGTCGGCCCCCTCGCTCCCTGCTGATTGGGTGGTGAGTGCCCCAAGCACGGTGCTGCATCCTTTTGCAGGGGAAGGGGCCAGACCCAGCCTGGCATAGCTGGGGTGGGGGCAGGGCCTCCCTGCGGCCTCTTTCCCTGACATTGTCACAGAGGGGACAGGCGCGTTCCGTTGGCATCGCATTAGCTTCCTAGGGCTGCTGTACAAATTCCTACCAACAGGGTGGCCTAGAACGCAGCAGCGCCTCTTCTCACGGTGCTGGGGTTGGGAGTCTGAAGTCAACATGTCATCAGCGTCATGCTCCCACCGGAGGCCCTGGGGGATTCTGTCCTCTGACTCTGCCAGCTTCCGGTGGTTGTCTTGACTCCTGGCCATGGCGGCACCATGCCAACCTCTGCCTCTGTCTTCATGTGCCCTTCTCCTCTTTTCTCTGTTTTTCTCTTCTTGAGTTTCTTATTTTTTTTATTTTTATTTTTTCTTGAGACAGAGTTTCACTGTTGTTGCCCAAGTTGGAGTGCAATGTCGCAATCTCGGCTCACTGCGACCCCTGCCTCCCAGTTCCAACGATTCTCCTGCCTCAGTCTCCCAAGTAGCTGAGATTACAGTCGCGTGCCACCATACCCGGCCAATTTTGTATTTTTAATAGAGACAGGGTTTTGCCATGTTGATCAGACTGGTCTCAAACTCCTGACCTCAGGTGATCCACCAGCTTCGGCCTCCCAAAGTGCTGGGATTACAGGCGTGAACCACTGCGCCCAGCCCTAGAAGGATCTCATTTGAGATACTTCACTACAACCAGAGACCCTTTTCCCAAATAAGGTCACATGCACAGGTTCTGGGGATTAGGATATGAACATACACTTTTGGGGGGCACCATGCAACCTGCTACGGGGTGCAGGGGAGTGAGCTGCACGGCAGTGCCCCAGCCTCTGAGCTGC